GGAAGACTTTGCTTAAAAGAGAGACAAAATCTCCTTAACTCTTCATTAAGGCAAACAAACACTGTTCTGCTCATTCATAGATTACAAAGTTAGACTACTTTATACAATTTTTCACTCAGGAATCACTTTCTCAAAGCACTTCGAAGCCGCAGCCAATGCAAAGGCATGGTCGGGTAAATTTGGTCCCACGCGCGTAATTCTGAATGAATCTATCGACCCGTGGCGCTAAATCTTTCTAGGTTTCTTAAAGCACTCTCTTTACACAGTCCTTCGGCTGTCTATAAATCTTGCCGTTAAAAGGCAACTGTTGGTGATTTGATTGGACCATACTTTATTTGCATTTTTTAAATCCATTTTATTTTATCTGTAGACCTTCATAACTTTGATTGTTTAATTATACTTTAGATATCTTCGGTCAAAATGTAATGCGACTACAAAAAACTTCCTTGAATCTGTTTGCTTTTTGCAGTGCACTCATTTCCAAACTCGATTGGTTCATTTTTGCACGATTTTTGTAATTTCATATAAATGCATCATCTTCAGTTATCTATATTACCGTTCAGTAAGACTTAGTGAGAGGTTCATACATTGACATGATAAGGCATCAGCATGTTTATGGTAAAAATTTGGTAGCTATGAGCAGAAAATGATTGCGAACGCTAAAAAACCAAAGAAAATTTACCTAGGAAGATTTTTTTGCACATATGTTCGAGTTAGCTCAAATCAAAAATAACCGTAATCGAAATTAGCTCTTGAAGGTCTGCGCTTTCTTTCTTCAGACTCCGATCTCAATTAGACTGCGGATTGAGAAGCATTAAGTGCGATTAGGAAGCTTTTACTCTTCATTTGGCAGAGGATAAATCAGTCGTTCCTTGTCATCACAATCTTTTGACAGTTATTGATGGAACTTCGTGAACCAGTTCTTGACATCTACTCAGTGTGCAAAAAAGCAACAAGAAAAAATACTCCAATTTCGTTGAAATTCGGCAATTTTTGTTTTACTTCCATGAGAGCATAGTGGATCGCAGTAGTACCACGAAATCAAAACTATAAAGGCAAAAAGAAACCTTTTTTTTTCCAAATTTGTCTTT